ACGCAGCCGCTGGCCACACTGGCTGGCACTGTTATCGGTTTGCCGATCATTTTTACGATCGCTCAAACCGATTGCTCTGGCAACGTTGCTCCCAACGTTGCAGAAGAGAGAGCCCTGCTCTCCTGGAAGAGCAGCTGCCCAGATCCAAGGGAGCTGCTTGAAGCGAGGAAAAAAGTACTCAAGATTGCTGGTGATTGCTATCTAACAGAACGCTTTCAGAGATACAGCTACTGACCGAAAGGTCTCTCCCGGGGGCTGGCTTTTATATCTTAGTACTAAATGACATCATAGGAAGGAGTTAACCCATCCTGGGTTCTCGATGCAGCATGGAGAAACATTAAGCATAGATTTAAAATTAAATATATTAGATGAGTTCTTTTACTTGTCAGACAGAACATTAAACTATTGTTAACATTCACATTAAGAAAATACTTAATGTGTGGCTTGTTACAAAGAAATATAGACTTGTATAATGAATTTTTCAAAGTCCACTGAGTTGCTGGCATACACGAGGTAGGTACTACATGAAATAGATTAAATGTTTCATAGTCATCTCCACTTTTCAGATTCATTTCATATTTGTTCACAGGATATGAGCCAAAGTTTAATTTTGACATGTCTTCATGTGAAACTCAAGAACTTAGCACTTAAACAATTCAACTGTTACTGTTTCAATTTATTTTCATTACTAGTTGGCATGTAGTATGAGTGTATAAATGAGAATGGATGCACACATGCTCATAGTGCTTCTCTTCTGAGGCCTGGCTGACATATTATCACTTTGACTAGATATTAGGTTTTGACATTCCATAAAGATGAATTTTTAAGATATCTAAATTTGAACAAATGATAATAACCCAATAGGTAAACATGAACTATATGCAGCTACAGTGTTTATGTGAGCCACTTAGGCTCTGATGAATTAGAAAATAAATAAACTGTAGCTGCCAAGCATTTTTGCTGAAAGTTTCTGGAAAAAAGTAAGATAGATGAAATGGACTCTTTGTCAACACATGGCAAAATAATTGATCATTTGATCTAAATCACAATCACGTTTCTTCCAAATGCTCAGGATAGTCTAGGAGAAATAAGGGATATTGACATGCAAAACAATGGCTTCAAATCTTGTGGGAAAATGCTGTGATAGAGAATTTTTCATTGATTCATTTGATTACAATTTAGTTTTATATAATAATTCAGCATATAAAACTTTAAAACAAAACAATAAGTAACATAAAAGTAAATGTAATGCAAAGAATTCATACAAAAAAGAAACTGTACATCAAAAAGTTACATCCTGATCCATCCAGAGCTTGAGTGGGGGGGAAAGATTTGCAGAGATCATTACAGGCTTGTGTGATCAGAAATATCTGAACTTTGAACTATAATCTGAACATATGAGAACATACTCTGAATATATCAGTCTGAACTATGAAATGCACTATGCCACCTTAAACCATCCTTATCTATTGGTCCTGATGGGTTATATGCATTCGTCTTAAAAAAGCTCTCCACTACCATAGCAGAACCACTAAGCATAATATGAGTTATCATTCAGAACCAGCTCTTTACCAAACCTATGGACTTTAGCAACGGTCATCCCTATTTTCAAAAAAGGTGACCCTTGCTTGGTTGAAAACTACAGACCAATCTCATTGTGTTGTGTTATATGCAAAGTTATGGAATCAATTATTAATCAACGCATTACCTTCCATCTAGAGTCTAACAACTTCTCTCCAATAAACAATTCGGTTTCAGAAAAAAATGTCCTGCAATTTGCAACTTCTACACCGCAAAAACATATGAGCTACACTTCTCGACCAGAGTAAAGCAATAGATGTAATTTATATTTACTTCTGCAAAGCATTTGACTCAGTGGTACATAACAAACTACTATTAAAATTAAATTTTTACAGCATTTCCGGATCTGGATTACTGCCTTCCTGATAAACAGGAAACAAATAGTAAAAATAGGAAACACTCTATCAAACCCTGCACCAGTTATCAGCGGTGTCCCACAAGGGAGAGTTCTAGGACCCACTCTCTTTACACTCTATATAAATGACCTTTGTGATCACTTTATTAGCAACTGCATCCTCTTAGATGATGATGTAAAACTATTCAACACCACTGTCAATGCTACCATCCTTCAAAAAGACCTTGCTTATGTGTCTGAATGGTCTAACAATTGGCAACTCCAAATCTCTACCAACAAATGCTCTGTCCTATACATTGGTAAATATATATATATATATATATACCAAATACAATCTAGGCAGATATGACCTTGTTGATGACCCTCACTTTGTCAAGGACCTTGGAGTTCTCATATCGAATAATCTAAGCACCAAAGCTCATTTCAACAGTATTGCCAAAAAGGCATTAAGAGTTGTAAATTTAATTTTACGAAGCAAATTTTACTGTTTTGCTAACTATGGCATTCAAAACCTTTTCTAGACCAATACTTGAATTCAGCTCTGCTGTCTGGAATTCGCACTGTATATCTGACATAAATATAATTGAGCGAGTCCAGAAGTATTTTATCAGAAGAGTACTATATTCCTCTGTTCACAACAAATACCTTACAGCACCAGACTTCAGATTCTTGGTTTAGACAACCTTGAAGTACGCTGACTAAGATTAGACTTAGGCATAGTACATAAAATCATATTACAACATCTTACCAGTTAATGAATATTTCAGCTTTTACAACAACACTAGAGCGCACAACAGATATAAACTAAATGAAAACCACTCCAAACTCGATTGCAGGAAATATGATTTCAGCAACAGAGTGGTCAATGTCTGGAACTCACTACCTGATTCTGTTGTCACCTGCTCAAACCCCCACTCCTTTACCCTCAAACTAAGCTCTATTGACCTCACCCCATTCCTAAGAGGTCTCTAAGAGGTATGCATAAGTGCACAATCGTTCCTACTGTCCCTCTCCTATTCTCCCCAATTATTAGTTCCTATTTCTTGTATTAAACTGTTTATTCTTGTTTCTGTTATATTGTAAGCTTTTGTCAAATAAAATAAATAAATAAATAAATAAAATGAACTGTAAGCTATTCCAAGAGGCAGATGCACATCTTATTTTCCCTCAGATGATATTGTTTAATGGATGGGACACAAAACACAACAAATTTGTCAAATCTTATGTAGAATGCAGAAACAATCTGTACCTCTTTCCACCTGTTACCAAAACCAGCCAGTTTCCTTTTTTTCTTCTAGGATCAATTCCAGTATTTGCTATGGAGGAAGAAAGCTGTAGCCCTAAGAGGCATGCTTTGCAGAATGCCCATTTTCTCTCCAGGTTTATTTAACATGTCCATGAAATGGGTGAATGAAGGCTTTTGTTAGGATAGGTGAAGTAAACATAATTAGCTGATGAAACTCACTTGTATATTTATACCCTGAGACAATCGGGTGATCCTGTCAAGGTGCTTCCCAGTATCTGGAAGATATGGGGGCTTGGATGAGGAGGAAACCACACGTACTCAATCGTAGGAAAAGCCAGTAGCTCAGGGTTTGATCACTCCAAATATATTTTCTAATGTTGGTTCTGGAAGGATACTGTATTTTGCCACTCAGAACTGGTGTGTAATTCGGGGGCCTCCTGGAGTCTCTGCTCAATAAATGATGACAGCTGTAGCCAGGCAGGGCTTTGTATAATTCCATCTTATGTGCCAACAATGTCTATTCCTGGATCAAAAGGACCTGCCTTAGTAATTCCTTGGTTGGACTAATGCTGACTTTTAACATCATATGGAAGATGTATTTGATCCAAAATGCAGTGGTGCAGATAGCCATGGCTTTACCATAGTGTCTCACATAATTATATTTAGAATGATACTGGCTTCCAAAAGATTTCCAAATGCAATTGAAGATACTGGTTGTCATTTATAAAGTCCTACATAGGGCCCAATGACTCTGGGTGACATATAATACAGCAACAATTTCACAGAAAAATAACATTATTTTCTAGTGTGCATTATTTATTATTTATTTTATTTTTAACATTTATTAGCCACCTGTCTTACCACGTAGTAATTTACTAATGCATGTGTATGTCTTTCTTGGCAATTTACTTGGAAATTTGCACCAATTGTATTTTAATCTCCTTTGTGCTCAAGAATAGCTACAATGAGTTAAAAGAAGACTGCTATTCAATAATAAATATTATTGAATACTGAATAATACTATTCAGTATTATTCAATACTGCAGTCATGCAGCATTAGTGGAGATACCATATGCAAATAAGATAATATGATATTATTTTAGTGGCACCAAGGGTATTTCGGCATTAAATCTGAAACACAAAAGAATCATATAAATCTGAAATGATTACTTCATTATTTTTGGACGATGTGGTTTCTGTCATCTTAAATGAGTTATAAGGTATTTCCATATCATCTATCTGTGTACATAGTGTCTATTTCCATACTGTCACAATATTTCCGTACTAAAAACTTTTAAATGAAAATGAATTTAATAATTATTAAATTAAACCATAATAATATTGCTCAGATAAAGGTTTGTTTATATAAAGGACTGTACTGTTTTATCCTGCTCCATTCTGAAAGTACAAAACAGAATAACAACAAAAAATCTTTGAAGGAGAATAACATCAAAAGTTCTTCCCTCGTGGCTATTTTCAGTTCACTTTTTCTGTTTTCACAGTGCTTAAAAATGTCTACTTTTACTAAAACCAAGAAAGCCCACTGCATGTGATTCCCACAGATGAAAAACAGTGCTATAATAATTCTGTCTAGCAATCCGGGAGCAGAGTGGAAAGGGAAAGCCCTTGTTAATAACTCAAGGGCTCATTTATTTCCTATGGATACAACTAGATATCTATATATTCCCCAAATTCATGGTGATTTACAGAATCCAATTAGGCGCTTCTTCAGGACATAAAAATGTATCCACTGCAACGGGGCAAAATCACCACAGTCTCTTGATTCTACAGAGCAAAGATAAATCTCAGTATACTCACAGATGTAGAAATATTCCCGGCCTGGCCTGAATTCAAATCCTAATGAGAAGGGAGTGAAGAGTTGGAATTTTTCTGAGAACTTCAATGGTCCATTGGGAGAATGAGGTCGGTTGCACTCCCACCTCTTGAATCCTTTGGAGGTATGATCACAGGAGCTGTAGCCATCAAAGTTCACCATGTAAAGTATATATCGTTCAGTCTTATCTTCTGGCACTGAATCCTCATAATGAGGACAGAATACATCCAAATAGTCATTGATGCAGACATCAATATGATAATCCCCTCGCTGGAATCTAAAAATAAAATCAAGACAAAACCAACTCAAGTAATTTTTCTAAAAAAATATTTTACATCTTAAACCAAATGAAACGTTTTTCCTTCAGAGATAATAATATGATCTGTTGTTTTGAATTAACTGTCCTTTAAAGCAGCAGTTGCCAACTGGTAGGCCGCGGCCCACTGGTGGGCTGTGAGAAAATTTTGGTGGGCCGCAGAGAAATCTCACCCCCAGAGCACTGAATGATTCTGTGAGCAACTCAATCTGCCTGCTTTGCCTGATTTTAGGTAAAAGTTGCTGTTTTTTATAAAAAATCAATATTTATATACATATTTATAATATTTACATACAAGCCATACCCAGCCAGTCACATGACCACCAAGCCACACCCACAAATTAGGCCACACCCATAGAACTTTTTAGTGGTCCCTGGGATCTAAAATTATGAGTTTGGTGGTCCCTGAGGTCCAAAAGGTTGGCGACCCCTGCTTTAAAGAAAGGACACCATCCAGTCAGATCCTTCACCCCCATACAATTGCTTTTACATCTGTAGAGTAGTTTATTTCCCCAATCAAGCTTACTTCAGAAGTGAATCTATAGTTCTATAAGGTTTTTTTTTTATAATTAAACATGGCTTAGGGTTGGAATATATGTAAATTATAAATACCTGCCTGACAACAAATCTGAATGCATTTTTTGTTCCACAACCACAGCTAATTGCAAGAACATGCATTTCCTACAACACTCACTCATCTTGACTTTTTCCTTACAGCTGGCAAGAGTTAAGATCCAAGAAAGCTCTGGTATGCCTTGAAATACTTTTGAAAAAGCAATATAATTCCATTGCCAAGTACAGAGAAGAGATACTGCTGTTCAGATAAAAGAATTCCAGGCTATGAATTATCAGCACTCACCTGACAGTTTGGAATGAGAGCCAGATGAGAAAGACAGTACAAGGCATTTTTACCAGTGCACTTTTGTTATCAGCAGCATTAGTTGCAATAATTGTAAGGCTGGTTTTGCTGTCATTAAAGTGCTGGTAAAGCTAAAATAATTCATTTCCAATTCTTAGTGATATGGTATACTGCAGGTTGAATTTGTAAATGGACCAATAATTTTTTTTAATCATACAAGTTGCACTTGTAATATAGTATTTGGTAATATGGTATTTACTTGCATATAAAACTTAGAAAGTGTTTCAAAATTAAGGTGACATATTCTTGTAGTATTAATCAAATTTATTAAGCACATCTACAAACTAGACAAGATGCACTGGAATACACTAATCAAATGTAAACACAATTATAGCCAACAGATTATGACTGCCACACACTCCATATTTTACCGAAAACACAGAAGCTGTTTTGTTTTCAGTAATGATGAATATATAAGAGGCATAGTATGATATTATATTTTTCTGAAAGACAGACTATTTGAATGTCACATACCGCACACACCATGGATGGCATATAAATACAGGAAATATAGATATAATTTATTTATTTCAGACACAATCCTTCCTGCTTTCTATTTACTGGTCATCACTACCATATCATTATCTGTGGCTTCTATTCCTTGGCAGCCAGCTATCCGTCAAGTGCACAGAGAGTAATAAAGACACTGTGACATATTTAACTATAATGATCCTTGTCACCGGAGGGACATATTTTAAGCACCTAATGGATCTGAAATCTGCCAACTGGATCCTTCTATTTAATTTGAGAAGAAAAGCAATAATAACCCTGCCTTCTCCAAGGATATATGCAGAGAAACCTATTCGACCTTTATCATTATTTTGCTTTTGAAAAACAGGTTTTTAATAAAATTTGGATGAAATACAGAAAGAGATAAATTCTAATTCTCTCTCAAGGTACACTACTATGTGAATTTACTTTGTCTTGAATATTAATGTAAATTAGACATAGAGTTTTTCATCACTGTAACTCTCAATATCACTTCTCTCTTTCTTTCTTAAAAAAAAAAAAGTTGCGAGATCATCTTTCTGCCTTACTTTATGGTGGTGTATAAACTAAACTAAACTATTTTGGAAAAGATCGTTTCTAAAAGGTTGTGTCTATACAAAAAAGGGAAGGTTTAACCATTCCCTGTTAATTCCCTCTCACAAATATTGCCATTTGTTTTTGTGAGTCCTCAACTTATGACTACAATTGGGATCACAGCTTCCATTGCTAAGTGATGCAGTTGTTAATGAGCCATCATGTGACTGCACCTGATTTTAAAAACTTTTTGGCATGGACATTAAATGAATCCAACCTCTTCCATTGACTTTGCTTATTGGAAGCTGGCTCAGAAGGTCACAAATTGCAATTACATCACCCTGGGACATTGCAACCATCTCAAATATGCATGAGTTGCTAAGCACCCAAATTGTAAAGACCAGTTGTAAGGCACTTTTTGTAGGACTGTTGTACTTTTGAATGGTCACTAAATGAATGGTTGTAATCATGGTAATCCTTATAACATTTAGTGACCATTTCAAGCTAAGCCACTGAAAAAAGTTACTTATGGCTATTTTTCATACTTAAAACCATTGCAGCATCCCCATGGTCATGTGATCAAAATTGGGATGCTTAGCAACCGGTTCATGTTTATAATAGTTGCAGTGTCAGAGTCATGAGATTACCTTTTCCAACCTGACAAGCAAAGGCAATGGGGAAGCCAGATTCACTTAACAACCATGTTACTAACTGCGGTGATTCATTAACAACTATGGCAAGGAAGGTCATAAAATGGGGCAACACTTACTTAAGGACTGTTTTGCTCAGCAGCAGAAATTTTGGGCTCAATTGTGGTTGTGAGTCAAGGACTACTTGTTCCTGTATGCTGTTGTGTTTCCAGTGGTTCCATTTACAAATTAGACAATAGCCTTTTTTAAAGGATGCAGCGAATGATTTCTTATTCTCTGCCCACATCTCATCTTGGGACACTCACACAAAGACAGGTATTTTTTTATAAAAAATTTCCATCTGGACAGTAAGGTATCATATCACAACTATATTTTATCTTCACAAATTTTTATCTTTAAGTGACAGACCACATCATAGTACTCCAATAACGCTCTATAAAAATGTTGCATGAAATAAATTGCTTTGATTAACATTCTACTTATTATGTTTATTCTCTGCTTCATATGACAAAGCATCTCAGATTAATTTACAATAAAAACAGCTAAAAATATAAAACATAGTAAATAATACTTAACAAAAAGAAAATCATATTCATTAAAAAATGATTGAAAAAATATTTAACATTCATACTAAGGATGCCTGAATAAAAAAGTATACAATGGAGCTCTGGGTCATGACTGTAATCTGTTCCCGGACTCCAGTTGAGACCCACTTTGGTCACGTCCAGAAGCAAGACTGACTGTCATGTGCGCAGTCAAAAAAATGGCAGTGAAGGGGAAATTGGCGTGGAAAGGAAATCTTTCTGTGCCAATTTTGTTCACCACCTGATTTTTGAATCGTGACCTGATTCAAAAATCGGGTGGATTTCTTGTTTGCCACTCGATTTGGTTGTGAACAGGAGTGTTTGTGACATGAGGTTCCACTGTATTTTCAATGAGCCTCTAAAAGCTATTATATTAGGTCCTCTTGAATTTCAGGGGGGTAGCATTTATGAGCACAAGCCCCACCATATAAAAAACATATACCCACAAGCATCTGACAGATGGAAGAAGGCAACTCTTGGCACATGTGGTAGTATATCTCCTCATTCCCCTCTCCCATTTCACTATTTTCTTATCTCTGTCATAGACCACATTTGTAACAGTGAAGGTCTAGCAGTTTTTCTGATCTCAACTTGCACCAGGGCCAGACAAGATAACTCCTTCTTGTTTAAAAGTCTGTGCTGACAAATTGGCCCACTTCTTCACCCGAATCTTCAATAGATCACTAGAGATGTGCTATGTTCCTTCCTGCTTCAAACGTTCTACCATCATCCCAGTGCCAAAGAAGCCCTCCATCAAGGAACTGAATGACTACAGACCAGCTGTTCTAACATCTGTAGCTATTAAAATCTTTGAAAGACTTATGCTGTCCCACCTGAAAACTATCACGGATCCGCTGTTAGATCCCATGCAGTTTGCGTACTGAGCAAATAGATCGACAGATGATGCTGTTAACATGGCTCTGCATTACATCCTACAACACCTTGAATCTCCAAATATGTACACAAGGGTCCTCTTTGTAGACTTCAGTTCAGCATTCAATACCATCATTCCAGATACTCTTCTAAGTAAATTAAACCAAGTAGTGGTACCTGAACACACTTGTAAGTGGATCATAAGCTTCCTAACAGACAGGAAGTAGCAGGTGAAGCTAGGCGGAATCACATCCGATACCTGTACAATCAGCACAGGGTGCCCCCAAGGCTGTGTGCTATCTCCACTTCTCTTCTCTCTATATACCAATGACCTTCAAATTTCTAGGTTCTACTATATCACATGACCTAAAACAGACAGCTAACATCAAAAACATCATCAAAAAAGCACAACAAAGGATGTTCTTTCTGCACCAACTCAGAAAGCTCAAACTGCCCAAGGAGCTGCTTATACAGTTCTACAGAGGAATTATTGAGTCTATCATCTGCACCTCTATAACTGTTTCGTTTGGTTCTGCAACCCAACAGGACGGACCCAGACTTCAGAGGATAATTAGGACTGCAGAAAAAACAATTACTACCCACCTGCCTTCAATTGAGGACCTGTATACTGCAGAAGTCAAAAAGAGGACTGTGAAAATATTTACAGACCCCTCACATCCCGGACATAAACTGTTTCAGCTCCTTCCCTCAAAACGATGCTATAGAGCACTGCACACCAGAACAACTAGACACAAGGACAGTTTTTCCCCAAAAGCCATCACTCTGCTAAACAAATAATTCCCTCAACACTGTTCAACTATTTACAAAGTGTACACTATTACTGTTAATCTTCTCATCATCACTCCTTATCACCCATCCCCTCCCACTTGTGGTTGTAGGACTGTAACTTTC